GAACTTGTGGGACTAATCGTGGATGCCCCTGTCTTAGAATTTCCGTTGCCTGACGCGTCGCGATTCAGCAAATGGCTGCGACTTCTACGCTCCACCGCCCGCATTATCCAAGCCCTACGCAAATTCTATTCCAAGTTGTCTCGACCCAATCGCTCAAATTTAAATTTTCTCGTCGCAGATGTACCACTTGACTCCACGTCCTCCTCACACCTTCACGCCGCTGACATCGCACTGGCAGAGAAGCTGCTGCTGCGTCGGTCACAGATGGAGAGCTTTGCCGACGAGATGAGGTGCTTGCAGGGCTCGCAGCCCCTCCCCAGAAGTGGTCGCCTAACATCTTTGGCGCCGGTTTTGGATGAAGACAATATGCTTAGACTCGACACGCGCATTCATTCCGTGCCAGGCGTAGAGGAAGAGGTCAAGACCCCAGTGATTCTGGATGGACGTCACCACGTAACCCGCCTGCTTATCGAGCATTTCCACGTAAAGATGTCCCATGGGTTCAACGACACAGTTCTGAATGAGCTTCGACAAAAATATTGGATACTGAGAGCGAGGAGTACCATCAGAACCGTGGCAAATAAATGCATGCGCTGCCGAAGATTTAGAGGCCGTTTGACTGCACCACAAATAGGCGATTTGCCCCTGGAAAGGTTGGACCATCACAAGAGGCCATTCACCCACACCGGGCTTGATTATTTTGGTCCGGTAACCATCTCGGTATGTCGGCACTTGGAGAAACGTTACGTAGCGTTATACACCTGCCTTGTCACCAGAGCCGTACATTTGGAGATCGTGTACTCATTATCATCAGACGCCGCTCTAATGAGCCTAAGACGATTCATAGCGCGTCGCGGTTCGCCATCGACGATTTTCTCCGACAACGGCACGAACTTCGTGGGAGCAGATCGCATTTTAAGAACACTTTACGACAGTTCTATAGAGGACTTCGCGACCAACGAAGGGATTGAATGGCGTTTTATTCCTCCAGCTTCTCCATTCATGGGCGGCGTCTGGGAGCGGCTGGTGCGCTGCGTCAAGAACGCTATGCAGTCGTGCCTCAGGGACAGGCCGCACCCTAAGGAAGAGGTTTTTGCGACGTTACTATTGGAAGCCGAAGCCATAGTTAACTCCAGGCCGCTAACTTACGTCTCCTCCTCAGCGGATGCACCGGAAGCGCTAACACCGTTTCACTTTTTATTGGGAACTTCCTCTACGTCACCCTGGCCAGCGGACCTTACCGATGCGGACCTACTTCGACGATCAGACTGGAGGAGAGCACTGCGACTGGCTGACCACTTTTGGGAAAGGTGGCTGCGGGAATACCTTCCAACGCTGCGCAAAAGAGGACCACGTAGCAGCATGCCTAATTTGAAGGAGGGGGACGTGGTGCTCATCGCGGACTCTACCCTACCACGAGGTTTATGGCCACTGGGTAGAGTCACGAAGGTATTCACAGGACCTGACGGACGGGTTCGCGTAGTGGATATTTTCACAAAAGCTGGTACACTACGCCGACCCGTCAGAAAGCTCCTGCTGATGGAAGCGGAGCGCCAGTCAGTCGCCACCGGGTCTTAGTGTTCCACTGGGGGTGGGAATGTTGGCGACTGGCTGGTGTTGGCTGATCTCTTTTATAGAACTTTATCTTTGTATTTTATATTCTTTTCATATGACGTGTTTCTTTTGATAGTACTTATGTCAGGGTTAGTTGCAAATAAACTGTGAGCTTGAGAAGACCGTGTTTTCATCATATACCAAGTCTACCACATCATACAGTCCACATCGCACGTAGTTATCAGATGTAATAGGGAGATTGGGCCATGACCCACCACGCGGGCCCATTGCGGATTGGTGGATACTAACGACTGCAGATGCAGCCGAGACCAACGGCTAAACGTGCCTTCCGAAGCACGGAGGAGCTCGAGATAGTAAATTTTTTTTTGGTCACCCATCCAATGACCGACCACTGCGAAAGTTGTTTAACTTCAACGATCGCAGATGAACGCGCTAACCACTTGCGCCATTGAGCTCCTCAAATATACATCATCATCATCATCATCATCAGCCTCTTTTATGTCCCCACTGCTGGGGCACAGGCCTTCCCTATGGATGGAATAGGGAGATTGGGCCATGACCCACCACGCGGGCCCAGTGCGGATTGGCGGGTGCTAACTTAATGAAATGTGCTTCGGTAACATTGTGGAAAGTAAATGTTAAGCCTCCAGCAAAAACATACACAAAACTTTGTTTCTGAAACATGTTTCTCTACACACACCGTCTACTCCTGCGCTCACGTGGCTGTGGTTCACAAAATACAACTACGAACCAGAAGCAACAAATTACCAATTTGACAAAAGTTTCTTACATTTCATATAAAAATTTTAACGTCAGAGTGAAAAGTTGTACTCGGAGTAGAAACCAACGCGAAAGAAAGTTTTGTGCAAACGATTTGTTGAATGTTGATATTTTTGTTAATTGTGTAGAGCAAAACACACGTTGGAGACCCGGCTTTATAAAAACTTTAAATGACAGAGTGATACATTTTTTGTTAAAAACACTCGAAATACAAAACAAGTGCAATCAGCTTGTCTTCCTCCAATCTCAGTTGCTTCTCATCAATATATTTTTCGGGTATACGAATATTACCAAGTTCAATTGTGGCTTGGTTATCAGCTAGACCCAAAAGACTGGGGTTAGAAGTTGATCGACAATACATTAGAACCAATTCAGACTTTACTCCTACCTGTGCCGGAAAAACTGCTAAACACAATTTTATTCAACTATAGTGGGATTTAGTGCTAAATGTGGTTGCAAAAAAGTTGGACTGTTTTGTACTCTGGCATATAGGAATTGTCAAGGCCAGTTGTGTTCTACTGTTTAATCATTCAACAGTAGAGGATTTGTTTGATACCAATGCAGAGACATGCGCGATACATCGCTACTCACGCAATTCACTTACAGTCTGGATGAAGAAGAAGTACAATGACATGCAGCTCTTATGCCCCCTATAATATAAAAATAATAAAATAAAGAAGAAGTAATACAAGATTATGAAACGGACGAATAAATACTTCTACTGTTTTTTTTAATTTCCGTCGCTTTTATCAATTCCAACCCATGACCACCACATGGAATAGGCCTACTGGGGTAATCACGTTAAAAAAACCGCGCTATGTACACCTCAGAGGGGGCGTGAAAACGTGTTTTGAATCGTTATATCTCAGGAACTGTGGCTCTTAGGAAAAACAATATTGATACCTTTTTCATAGATAATTTAATGCGCCACAATTTTTGACTGAGATAATTCTACGATAAAACTTACTGTTTTGATGAAAATCGCAAAAAATATCCACTTTTTTGACCTTTGACTTGAGTCAATTGTTTTCCAAGTACCGGAACAATGAGGAATTTTAAAATGTTATTTATGATTATATTTTGAACAATTTATCTAATTTCCAGCTTGATGTAAATTTATGTACCTTCATTCTTATTTTTCAGTCTTATTTGACCGAATTATTGAAAGGTATGAATGTTTTCATTACAAATATAATTTAATGCGACTTACTAAAGATGAACAAATAAAATAATGGGGACGTAATTTATATAAATTGCACTTAAATAAATAAAAATATTGCGACGAATTGAGAACCACCTCCGTTATTGGAAGTCACTAAAAACTTTACAAAGAAATAATTGGTATTGACAGATTGGTCCTATTTCACCTTTGTTACCTTTGACCTCGAGTAAATTTTTTCCAAGTACCGAAACGATGGGGAAATTTGAAATGTTATTTTTCAAGGACATTTGGACAAGGTCTACTTGCCTTTTGAAGACCGCCATAGAATCTTGCGATCAGACGAGCTATAGCTTGTTTGCTTTATCACTTACACTTATCACAAAAAAACTTTTCAACACACTTGCTCAAAAAATGCATTTACGGAGGTTGTATTATTCGAAAGTTCAAAGTTACGGGCCATAGAACGGAGCGTGCGGCAAAATACCGTGCGTATCCTTTACGTATTTTTTAAATTTCGATCGACCTTCCTTGGCAGCGCTTTTAATCTATACCTTTGCCTCGTTTTAATACTAAAAAGAAAAAGAGACGAATTATGTAGTTCTAATTTTCATTACCCGCACGTGGCGCCGTTTGGAATGCGCGCCTTTTGCTTTTAGAAAGAGTTTGATTCATTACTTAAATAAGGTATAGGTACTGTTTTCTCGCAAATGTGTTGAAAAACGTTGAATGATATTCGTTCGGAATTGGTATTTCCAAACTCGTGACATGCGTCTATTCGTTTGTAATAACCAACTTACCGCACATATAATATCATAAATAACTTTTTGTTAAGAATTTACGAAATATGGGCAGACAAGAATGCTGTAAAAGGAACGATGCTTCTTAAATTTTGTAATCCGTTTCTTCCTAACGACGACGTTTTATACGTTTTTAGTACTATAAAATTGCAGTTATCCTTCATTCTTCAGAGTACATTCTCTGGCTGATTTCCTTTTCATCATAATGGTTTAATTGAAATATACATATCGCGATTATTTTTAAAAGGGAATCTTAATTTTTTTGCACATAAATAAAAGACATCAACGAAATCTTTGTATAAACGGCCACGGATCTGTACAATAAATTAGTATACTTACACCTCGGCAAACTTCTTGAGCAATGACAATAGATAAGGATGCCTGCGCAGTAGCATTTTTAATTTTTACACAAAATCGTTAACTGCGCAAGTTAATTTGTCTGTGGTTTTGCTTAAGAAGTTTGCCGCTACTTATAGCTTAATTATGCTATCATAATGAAAAAGCTATTTCACTTGGTATATTATTTTCTTATATTTTAAATCGGTGAAGTTTTTGAGTTTCGTTGCAGGGGTAACTACCCCAAACCACTCATTCGAAATACACTTTGACCAATATATTTTGAGTTTACTTTTTGGGTGGACGAAAAGATTTTCGGTAGCATAATATACAGTTACATATATATGGTATATATAACAAAGTTTTGTTAAATTTTATTTATCGATAAGATAAATTTTATGACTAAATGCACGTCTCTACAATAATGATTTCTTTAAAAATTAGTACGTATTTCGAATTTAGAATATGAAACTTCATGGACACACAAACGTTAAAACGGCCATCACAGCCTGCCCCCACTATATTATACAATGTTCCACTATTGACGGAATTCTTATGTTTTATATGTCAATTACTCCCCGTTATTAAATACTGATCACTGATTATTTTGAATAAATGATCCTTAGGCAATGGTTTAACTACTTGGAGAATAGTTATGATAATGGCAGTACTAACTTATTTAGTTATGGCGCTTTGGCACCTATGACTTACTAAAAGGCAAGCGAACGAGAGGACTCTCCTGTGGCCAAGTGCCTGAATAAAAAAAATAAAAAAAATGAATATAATTAATCCATAATATAATATATCAAACTAGAAGATTGATTTCGTTTAAGGGTATTAATACATACACGTATTCTTTGTTATAGTTACAAATAAAATAATATTTTTTTCATTCTCCGATTGCTCCAAGACATGGTGTTACATATGAGACTATTATATAATACGACGTAGAAGGAAACCAGGTACTGGTTCAAGCGGAGAAGCAGCAAAGAAAATATCTGATTTCTTTTCATTTTAGGACAGCATTCTATCATCCCAAAAAAGCAGTATTACTAATGTTGTAGATGAAAACCTTGAGATTACAAAATAATTCCGAATTTACTAACTCTAAGTTAATATAACATTTTTTTAACTCAGAGTTTATCTTGCACGAACAGAAAATAAGTCAGGGTTTCTAACCCAACAATTTTATTTTGCATGATGGCAATTTTTTGAGTCAAATTAAAATCCATTCCCTCTTCTTACAACCGGCTAAATACAAAAGAGTGAATGATGAATGACATAAGTATTGTTCTCTCTTTCACACAAAAGTATCTTGCATATTATTATGTCTCTTTCGTAATGTCAAATTTGAAAAGACGTGGTGTTTTTGGGCGTTCAAGTTCAATGGCGTCCTGTAATTTGCCTGTCAAATAGGTGTTTGCATACCGATTGCATGGTGTTTTCAAAGTACCTATCTATCTCATAAGTTTGTATTTTGTGACAACAATTTCGTGTGATTTTACTTTGTAAAATGGAGATGAAATCTCGTTTGCGTGCCCCGAACTTTACAAGTAGTGGCAGTTTACTTTTGTGTGATATTTTATACAAATATATAAATATTTACTTATATAGTCTACAATTCCTTTGTATCATCAGAAAACAAAAAGTCATTCATCATTCAGAAATAAATAAAATAAAATGTTATCCCTATAAAAAACACATAACACAGCCTATTATAACCTTTAACAATTTTGACGTTTTAAACCTCGAGTTAGCAATTTAATCCTCCAACTTCGGCGGGTTTATTATTTAACCTAAGGTTTAGTGTTAACTCTTGGCAGTGCAAGAAAAATTTTTTTTTTTACCTCAGTTCAATAGTTAACTCAGACGTAAATAAATTAACCCTGGAACGTGCAAGTGGGCCTTATTGTTTTTTTTGCATAAGGAAAAAGTGCAAAGTCGCATGGCGCTAAGTATGGACTATAAGGTGGATGCCTCAGTAATGTCACTCCAACTTCACGCAAATAGTCTATAGTTTTGCCGGCCCGATGTGCGGGAGCGTTGTCCTGATACAGCAACCATGTGCGAGTCTTGACTTTGGTCGCTCGTTTTTCAACGCTTCTAAAACTCGAGGCAAACATTTTTCCGTGTACCAACTTGCAGTAACAGTCTTCTGTTTATCAAGCACGATAGTGACAATATTCCGCGTTTTAAGAAAAAAACAGCCACCATTAGTTTTGTAACAGATCGAGACATTTTGACAGATGTTGGCGCTCCTTCATCTTGAAACACCCATACTTTGCTTTGGGATTTAGTTGGGACATCAAAATAGTAAAGCAGCCAAGTTTCATCACATGTAATGATTGAATTAACGTACTTAGATTTGCCGCCGTCAATTTTTTTAACATCTCATGACACCAATTCATACGCTGTTCCCTTGACTCGTCAGTCATCGTATGTGGTAAAGTAAACAAAGTTTCCTAACTTTTAGATGATCGTAAAGAATTCGATGAACAGTTGGTGCATTTAAATTCAGGAATTGGTCGATCTGTCGACATGTCACATGCCGGTCTTCTACTAGTAGTTTTCGAACTGCCTTAATGTTTCTATCGGTAGTTACCTCTACTGGCCTACCGGTCTTCGAACCGTCCTCTAAGCTAAAATTGCCGCGATTAAATTCAATAAACCATCTTTCTATGGTCTTTAAGGAAGGACACGTTTGTCCTAATGCACCACTCATTTCTTCAAAACACTATTGCTTAGTCAAGCCACGCTTGAAATTATATAACATTATTACACGAATATCCCAATTAGTGAATACAGTCATGTTTTATTTTCAAAAAATTGCAATAAACCTATAAAGCTACTTTACGTTACGAAACTTAGCTTGAAGTTTGCCTTTATAAATCTACCCTTAACTAAACAATATCTTACGTTTATTTCGCGTACGACAAAACTTATGTAGTGGCCTATGTATATATGCATATACTAACTGTACTGTAGGTATAGCTTTGATAGTTGCAAATTTTATATTTTTGAGAAAATCTAATCTCAGAGATCCAAAGTACTAGCGAGTGACCCGGCGAAACGCGAATAAGGGTTAAGGTTGATCGTAGGTTGCAATAAATAAAACAATGTCATTTCATTAAAAACAAATCTGTTTATTTAAAATTAAATGCAAAACAATCTTTCTTTACAATAAACTAAACTTAGCTTGAGCGTTTGACTGGATATATGGTTATAAGAAATTATTTAACCGATGTACAAAGACGTTTTGCATTATTTGCTAGATTTTAAGTATTCAACATATGCGACCTTGTTTGATCAGGCAGGCTTTATTTTTTAATCAATGCGGATATTAAACAACTGCCGCACACAGAGACATCAGTTATCTTTCAGTTTGATGAATTGATGCTGTCTCAGTTTATTTGCAATAGAATAAATAAGGCAGCATGCCACATAGATAAACACCCACTAAAATTAATTGAAGTCTCTGAGTACGGACGTAAGTATATTTGTTGTGACTTTCATTTAAAAAGTACAAGAGGGTTTCAATGCTACCGAGAAGCGATGAGGTATTAGTACATACAAACTTACTCATACATTTATATATCTTTGAAGTAAGTGTGTATAAACAGTTTATTATTTAGGTAAAACAATAAATTATCGAAACCTTATAATATTATCATTCACACATTATCACTTTATTTTAAAAGCCTATCCTATACATATAATTATTACACTGAACTTTAAGTTTATTTTACAAAGATTTCAATGTACTTTCTTTATTAATACTTATTAACTTTATCTTTTAAAATATTTTAATATCTATTTGCTATAGAAAATTATGTTAACAATATAACACAAGTCTATAAGTTTTAATTAAGCTGCTGCGTATTTACATATTTTTATCTCTAAGTAAATTTCACTGTTAAACTTCTTAAATATTTAAATTTCAGTCGGTACCATTCGATACCAAATATTACATAAACACAATTATAAAATTATTCCATAATAATTTTCTACCTTTTCGTTACGGAATTTGCGGTTGTTGAGTAAAGGTACAAACAAGGACTAATCAGATGCTATAATGTGACAATGAAAGCGCCTTTATTTCGTCATAATATTTTCTTTATTAGCAGTACAAGTATATCCATTGTCATGTCCTAGCTGTACTGAAATGAGTTCTGTTTTTGTCACAAGAATAAAATAAGTGAGAACAAGATTAAAACTAAAAACAATCTTAAATTTCCGACTAGTTGTGAACCTCGTATTTATTCAACATTACCTAGAAAGTAGCTTATAATAAAAAATATTGCCGTTTTTTGCTACTCCTTGTCGGAAATAAATTAAAAACGATTAAAGTTACCAGTAAAGAAGCACAGTGGCGCGTTAGTTCCATTCAAAGTTGTGTTTATACTTCTATCGAGTGTACCAAGAAATAGTAGTAAATAGGAATTTTAAGGGCTAGTTTCAATAAATCATATTCTAGTTAAAAGGTAGGGATAATGGCCTGCGCAGACGATGGACTTTGGTCCGCCGCGGAAGTTCCTCATCTGAATCGTGGAAAAAAAAATCCGCCGACGACTTCTCACGAACACAACGTACACGATGTGCGAATATTTGTCGCCCTAAAATTTAGAAAAGCGCACGCTATTGAAATAAATATTCTTAGATTACGATGTGTTGTAATTAACATGAACTTTAAGAAATAGATAAGACGTTTAAAAAAAATACTGTACCCATAGCACGAACCATTATCGAATTCCAATAGTTTTTCGAGTGCGAAATGTCAATGTCAAATTTTGTATGGAAACTTGAACAGCAGCGCCACAAAGTACGTAACGAGAACTAAAAATCAGTACACATTTGACAATGACATTTCGGAGTCGCAAAATATTCGAATTCGATATTGGTTCGTGCTAAGGGTACTGGGTCCATTTATTTAGATCGGGTCTAGCGCGCAACGCCGACTTAAGTTGTGCGTTGCTGCGCTCAGTCACATGAGTTCTATTTTTTTGTGGCTTACTTTTGCCAATCTCTCGGTATCCTCGGTTGTTCGGGGGACTTCATTTACGCGGTACTTTTAGTCCAACGTGTGCGTTACTCGATGCAACTGTAAGCCATTAATTTCAGAGGATAAAGGAAAATCCCTCGTCTGCACAGGTTATAATCTGGTTCAGTTTCTTAGCAACAGTTGTAATTATAATCTAAATAATAAAAATATCAATGCTCTAATAGGCTTGTCTTACTGGAGTTTGATTATTGAAACTAGCCGTAAGTCTTACCTTGAGAGTACGGTAACAAGATTTGAAATTGGCGTCATCAATCGTTCCGCTCTAGAAGTTTCCGGACTAGCCTCCAGTCCTCCATGATGTCAGCGTCGGGGAGCATATACACCACGTAGGGGGGTGAAACTGTCACTTGCCGCTTGCGCCGGCGTCGTCCCCATTCAGTACTGGGCCACAGCTCGACAGTATGACGCTCCTCTTCCAACTTTCGTATCTTCTCTTGTATCTCCTCTTTGAGAGTCTCGTACGCCAACCATTTTTCACTCTGTTGACAAGGAAAATTGCAATGTTACATTCAAATCTTCTTGTAGGAAGTTGTAACAAACATTTTAGTAATTAGAAGTACATAAATGCAATGAACAAAAATCCTGATTTAAAATCCAGAAATAAAACTAAACCACTTTTAACGAATTTTATGGCCGTATATTATTTAATAACATTGACCTTAACTTTAGGGGTTCCGTCTCTAAAATTTAAAAGTCGTTTTATTGAATAATTGGAGTGCGTGAATGCAGAAGATATAAATATATTAAAATCCAGAGTCAGTATCAATAAAATTTATGTAACAAAATGAATCATATTGCTACAACCTTTTTTTTACACTGTCAAAAATTTCGCAGTCCTGTTACAGACAATTTTGAAGGTCATAATGTGTTTGTTTTAAAGTAAATTTAAAAAGTGTCACTTAATTACATTTACATATTTTTCATTTAGCACACCAGTTCTCAAATTGCAAGTCTGTAAGAGCGCAAGTCTACGGAAAAAAACTTCACCTCACAGTAGGTGGAGAAACCTTATTTTATGGCAAGTAAGGTTTCTAGTACTTCCAGTCCCTGTTGCCCGTAGCATCACCTTATACATTTACACACAATATACATTTTATTACTTTTTCTGTCGCGTGTAACCGTAATTTAACAATTGATCGTGATAAAAACGAGCTATATGTCATAATGCAGTGCTTATATTAGATTTAGGAAATGAAGCTAGGACATGTCCCTCTATAATTTTGGAATACCAAGCATCTACATACTAAGCCACGACCACCGTGACTTATAGAAAAACGGAAATGATGAAAAAGATGGAACTTTTTGTCGTTTTTGACTAATACGTTAAAAACCACTAAAAACAGTGTTCTATTTAATATATGGTCTGTTATAATTGTTAAAAAATCATTAATTTGTTTACGCGGTGAATTCTAACTAAAGGGCTGCGTCAGTATTTGACTATTATGTTAGGTTTTAGAGTAGATTACAAAGGGTTTAGGGTGTCGATTCTGCTTAGTTGAAGTAATTGTGTATCAACGGTGTTTCAGTAGTCTTGAAGACAATTATTGTTACTTAAACTAAAAATTATAAAAAAAAAATTGCTTACTCATTTATTACTATTATCAATATACATTCCTTATTTATGTTTTGGTAAGAAAAACTGTGTCGAAAAGCGATACTATTAAACTGTTCTTGAGACACCATTTTCAAGTTAGTTTAAAACAGAATCGACACCGTTGTAAAGCAAAATATGACCTTGGCTGTGGTGACGCGGTCGAAATTTGCACATACGCTTATTTGAGTGCAATGACGCAATATCTTTTGCAGAACATTGTTTGATCTTTTAACTTCCATTAGACATTGAACTATTATAAATGCCATGTACGTGGGGATAGTGCGCAAATAGCAAGTTGTTAAGTAACTGCACAAATGGTTTATTTTATTCGACAATCAGAAACCATTATCACAAGTTCCCATTTACCTTTCTTTCTGACTTTCCTGTACCGAACTTACGCTCTCACCACATAACCATTAATTTCACGTCATATTCAGCCTTTATTCTGAATTCCATTTCAATACATATACAGTAATTGTTTGTTTTTATTTTCAATTTAAGTCATATTACTTATAACATTAATTGATAATTGTTAAAATTGTATATATCTACCAAAATACATCTGCTCACTGTTTCACACCAACTTTTTATTTAAACTACCTTGGTAGTTTCTGCCGCGTATACTACTTTCAGTTAAGGGTATAACGGAACGGGAATATCTCGTGTAGAATTAATTTGTGAAAAACAAAATGTCGCATTATCTAATTTCTTGTGATGCTTATTTTTTCAGCGTCTGAGCGCCCGCCGATATGACGTAACTGACGCCAGGTGCAGAGATAATGTGATTGTCTAGTATTTTTTCTTTGTTGCTACGATTTGTATTCGAATGCAATAAAAATTTTGGATTTGAAATTAACTTCTTTTCTATTACCACGCAGATGATGAGACTTCGGATAACATTTTAGCTGATGGGCTGTCCACAAAATTGTTCAAAGAATTTATACAAATGTCGGTACAACAAAAGTTGCATTGCTGCAAAAAATGTCGCCGGATCTAAATGGTAAAGTCCTGGAGATAATTCTGAAATAGCTTCTAAAATTTTAGCATTTTTAGAATAATTTTATCAAAGCAGAAAGGTAATTTATGACAAACTAAAGATAAAAAATTAATGTTCGGTCTGCTTGTATACACATAAATATGTATACTTATAAAAGTTCTGTTTAGTTTTAGGAAAATTTATTGTTGTAAGTTGTTGTGCTATAATTATTATTTATTAAATTTATTCCAAACGTACAAGTTATCATTCATAATAGTTTTGTAACTGCTTTATCCTTGAACATTCCTTCTGCTGAATCCTTTACTGACTGCGCCAGAGAGTTATTATAAGTTACCGCATTCAATGTCTTTCCTTTAAACAAAACTTGAGAGTTAGGTTCATTACAAAACTGAGTGACGTAATTTTAAAAGCACCTTAAAAGCAATTTCATGTAATAGATTAATTAATATTTTAACATGTTACAAAAATTCATTGCCTCTCTCTTGAGAATTAGACAAATATTTCTTCTTGTAGTTGTTCCACTCGTCGTGGATATTAGATTTAATACTTAATTTTTAATTTATTTACTTTAATGATATAACTTTTATGACCGCATACAAACTACGATGCACTAAGACTTCTGGGAATTTGTGTCAACTTATAAAATTCCAATTGTTTCTAAAAATAAGTTGTCGTAGGTATACTTTCTTTATTTACAGGTTATCCAAATAACAAGAACGCCTTCTTTCTAAGGTGGTCATTGTATAAATTATAATTATTATAAAACTGATCAAAGTTAATCTCAATACAGGCTTTTAAGTTTTGAAGTCTTCTTTCAGTTGACAATAAATAAAAATTGTGTGTACAAAATAATAAGGTTGTTGTACACAGTAAAGACAATTCAGCCTCTACAGATTACTCTACCGCACCACACACCCTCCTTAGATTTAATTGTTATAGTATAGATATTATCACATCTTTCGTTCAAAGAATTCATTGCATAGAAGACATTTTGTCGATAATTTGTGGAAACTAATAGTATATATAATTGAGATATAGACCCTTCCTGATTTCGATGGGACATTGAAGTTTAATTTAGAAATAATTTCAAGGGACTTAATTTTATTTGATATAATTTTTAGCAAATATACTATGTCAATCAGTTCACGTCGTTTGTGTAAAGGAAAAAGATGAAATCGGGAACATAAACTTAATACGTGGAAGTAAAGGGTAGTTTTAAACGAAAGCACAAGCATTTTGCATTTTTTTTCCTGTAGCCGCTAGATGCGGTTAATGTATTTATTGTAGCGTGGATTCCAGATCTCAGACCCATTCTCCAGTATGCGTAAGTCCAGTTAAGAAATTTTATCGTTTTGGTGTCTCTAAAACAAGCTGATGTACGCATAACAAAACCCAGAACCCGTGAAGTTTTAGTCACAATGCTATCCATGTGTTTGATTCATGAAAAATTCCTAGGTCACGTGTAGCAGAAAGTCTTTGTACACTTTGATTCTTTAAACTATGCTCGGATGGAACCGTAACCGATTTATGAGTATTGGTTACAACAGAAGATTTTGAGGGATCTCGTTTATTTAATTTGCAGTAGTTTTCGAGACGCGTCAAATCTGACTGAAGATCTAATACAACAGATGGCAATGATACAGATTTATAAATTTTCATGTGGCCTGTAATTAGTGACATCAGATTTAATACTTTTTTATTTACTGGCGTTATAAATACAGTCTACCACAATAAGAGCATATTATTTTCAGAGATAGATTCTACAAATAATAAATAGACGGGTACTGTAATATATTTAGCGCACTTAACAAAAATATAGGCGGCAAGTTATCAGGTCCCGCCGCTTTATGTCTAAGGACAATATAACTTTATTCACCAATCTTATTTATGTATATATTAGAAATATCCGCCAGCCTTGATGCACCAATGTTACAATTTAAGCCGGACTGTTCAGGCGTGGACTGCAAAAAGGTGGATTAAAAAAAGTCAGAAAACAGATTTGCGATAAAACCATCATTGCTAGCGACAGCATCGATCAGTTGCCTTGTATCGCGATATAACAAATGACCAAAAAATATGGGATTATCTTTGATTAAATTTTTTGACAGATAACATATACTTCTGATAGCACTGAAATTCTAACCGTTTAACTCTTTCTCTCAAAAATTTGTATGTTACAAGTCAGAATATTTTTTACATACCTTACATTTTATTTAAAATTTATGTTTTTCTTTAATAGCTTTTTTAAAGATTCTGAAAACCAAGAGGGTTAGTTGCTATCGCGACAAATTTTTGAAGGTACATACATTCTTAGCGATTAGTTTATTAACAATTGAATAGCAAAAATCGAGATTGCTCTTAGGCAGCTTAAAAATGGAAAATATCCCTTCTAAGCTACGTCTACAAGCTGTTCTCAAGAGTGATCGCGAACCGTCTTGCTCGTAGCCTTGATGACTTCCAACCACCGGAACAGGCTGGGTTTCGGAGCGGATACGGCACCATAGACCATATCCTAACAGTACGGCAGATTATACAGAAGACTGAAGAGTACAATCAGCCCTTGTGCCTAGCATTTATGGACTATGAGAAGGCCTTTGACTCGATTGAAATCTGGTCTGTCTTGGAGTCCCTGAAGCGTTGCCAAGTCGACTGGCGATACATCCAAGTGATTAGATGTCTCAACGAAGCCGCCACCATGTCTGTCCAAGTACAAAATCAGCAAAAAAGTCCCATACCGTTGCATCGTGGAGTGAGACAAGGGGCCGTTATTTCTCCGAAATTGTTCACTAATGTAATGGAGGATATGTTCAAGACGCTGAACTGGAAAGGACGTGGCATCAACATAAATGGCGAACGCATCTCTCACTTGCGATTTGCAGACGACATCG